AAGTTCTTAGAGAAAGAGAGATTTTTTGGCAAAGAACATTAAACTCCTTTCAGCCATATGGACTAAACAAAAGAACTGGATAAAGCTTTTACGCGAAAACCTTTATAAAGTTTTAGGTACATAAATTGTTTATAACATACGTTATAAAGGTTTTAAAACTGTTTACCAATTAGAAACACTAATTGTTTACGAGAGATTTTACTCAGCATTTAATTAAGCAACATGCACTGTGCTACGTCACACAATTAACCAATTACGACTCTGTAACAATTGCATGTTAAGGCCCCTGAGGAAGGCAAATGCCGAAACGCGTCGGGTCTTTAATAAAGCGTTGAAAACGGAAGCACATTCTCCATTGTGCAAATTATATATATATATATATATATATATATATATATATATATATATATATATATATAGAGAGAGAGAGAGAGAGAGAGAGAGAGAGTTAAAAAAAAGAGAGTTAAAAAAATGCGAGAATGGACAACTTCTGACGTAAAAAAGATAAAAAAAATTAATAAAAACGTTTTGGTCTTCAGTTATTTACAACTTTTGAATGAGAAAAGAGCTTTAAATAAGATCGAGGTGCTAGTGATTACGTAATTAAAGGTGAAAACTAATGAATATTCAAAAGTTGTAAAAAACTGAAGAAGGTCTCTGACCGAATTGTCTTTTATGGCGTTGATAAGTACTGGGCGGTGCTCCAGTGATAGAGAACTTACAGTAACTGAAGCTGCTCCAATTTGAAGAAGGCTTGATTTGGAATGTATTCCAGAAGGTTGTGGTTTAGCAATCTGAATAAAAAATTTACTTACAATGTTCAAGTTTAGAGACCTTCTCCTGTTCTTTCTTCTACCTTTTCTTTCTTCTTTCGTGTGTAACAGAGTGAAAGTTGTACATCTACTCTAAAAGCACGTTTCTTTAATCAACATAGAATGAAAACTCAACCACTTTGATCACGTACAGATAAATAAGACTTGTTGAGGTGGTAAACACTCCCTCAGGTAAAACGCCAATGCGGTTAGAAGCCAAATAACTAGAAACAAAAGACATATATTTTGCCCCTTATATTCACAATTATTTTCGGACACAGTTTTTCATCACGTGTGCTTGGTATTCTTATTGATACTTACAGGTATTCCAGTTTTGTCAGGTTGGCAAACAATTTCTCAGGTAAAGAGGTAATATTATTCGAAGAAATATCCCTAGAATAAATATGAACAAAATTATTTTAACGATTACACAACGAAAAGTCAGTTAAAATATATTAAAGTTCACACGGCAACCAGGTGGACAATCAGACATAGTTTGATGCTACTCTGGTTTGCAGATTTAATGAATGTAACCGAAGAAGTTACAATTCATAGACCCAACTTTTCGACACTCCTGTCTAGTGTCTTCATCAGGGGTGATCTAAACGCTGCAACAAGAGGTCCTTTTATATGATCACTAATTTAAGAGCACCAAGAGCACCAAAAAGCGGTTTTCCTTTGCAAAAAGGAAAATTCAGCTTTATCGGAGCACACATGCCTAACTAATCATACAATTGGGTGGGATAATTCTAAAATTATAACCACTAATCGGCGTTACTACCAGCGCCTTTGTTTGGAGGCTTGGCATATTAACTCCGCCCACGCTCCTTCAAATCGTGACGATGGCGGTTTGCTTCCTGACGCCTATTTACACCTCGTCAGAAAAAAAAAAGGCCGCTAATTAGTGATCATTTAAAATGACCTCTTGTTGCAGCGTTTAGATCACACCTGATGAAGGCACTAGATAGGAGTGTCGAAACGTTGGGTCTATGAATTGTAACTTCTTCAGTTACATTCATAAATCTGCAAACCAGAGTAGCATCAAGAAAAATACCGTCCGAAAAGTCAGTTCCTTCCAGGAATGAAATGTTTTTGACTGTTCTTTCATAGGCTGAATTAAAACTTTTACTACCTTCAATGAGTTCAAAGCATTTGATACGTACAGAAATCGTAGTGATTTTGACAAGCTAACAAACACTCTCTCTGGTAACGTGGTAATGCGGTTGAAGGAAAGATGGCTGAATGCAATAAAATAAAGCAGTGGGTCAGAAGAAAAAGAAACGAATGGGAAAAGGAGAGTAAACTAAAATATGACTTGTTTGTTTTACACGTGTATCACAGGGTAAGTTAAACGTAAATTGATGTACCGTGTTAATTCGATTATAAGCCGAGCGATTTTTACACAAATTAAATCTAAAGTGAGTTAAAAATTTGGGCTCTAGAGGAGTATCGGCTTATAGCTGAAAGTTTTTGACAAAAAATTTTCCAGCGCGACTATAAGCCGACTAAAAGTAAGGAAACACAATATGCAATCATTGGTTATTAACTTTCATTTCGAATTCGAGAGTGCGGCTGGATGATAGTTTAAACCGCATCGGTGTCACATTCATGTTAAAGATTCTTGATAGGGAATAACCGTCATGCTGACGGGATGTGATTACAAATCGATGGAACTTGACTGTTTTCTGCACGAGATTGTTTAATAGACATTACGGATGTGTAGGTACTGGTGATGCCGCTTAACAACATAGTTAGTTTTAAATTGATATTTTGGAACACATTTATTCATCTGAGTTATGATTCGTTGCTTTTCAATTGAATAGTTAGCTTTTTCGTCCTTTGCATATTAAATCACCATAAATCACCATCGTCTAAGCCTCATTTATGACAGTAAATGTGGTTTTATTCAGAAAATGTTAGGTTTTCCCGTAGTTAACAAATCAGTCTTGTAATAATGAATAGGTCTCGGCTTATAGCCGGGTGTTTTCGATTTATTTTTGGTTCTCGTTATGCCAAGTCTACACGTACAAAGTTTGGGGTCTCGGCTTATTGCCGAGTAAATGCGGTACATACAGTTATGTGCTGTTCACTCCAATTTCAAATCAAAGTGATGCATATCATATAATTTTTTTCTTTCCAATTTGTCTGGTGTCAACAGTTACTCACATAGTGTGGATTTTATCCGTCTTTGCAAACAATCCCTCAGGTAAACTGGTAATAAAGTTCCTGGATAAATACCTAACAAAATAAATGCATTTTATCGTGATTAAAATAAAAGAACTAAGGTTGATCTGAAAGGTAAGTAAACAAAGAGAGAGCAAAACAGGGGCGTAGACATAGAAACGTGGATGAAGAGATAAACAAACAGACAGAGAGGTGGACTTACGGACGTACGGATAAACAGGAGGGCAAACCGAAGGATGCCAACATATGCAGAAGATCTAAATGGTATCAATACCCTCGCTCTTAAAGTAATCTGTGTTTTTATGATCATTATTGAACACAAAAAAGAGTTTACTTACAAGTTATATAGCATTAGGTTATTAAACACTTTCTCGGGCAAAGAAGATATAGCGTTCGATGTAAAAACCCTGAAAAAAAGACACCATTCCTATTATATTCTTCTTCAAACCGGAAAAAGTGTCTTAAGTTCACTTCCAATATTTGAACTTTAGCCCACAAATCTATTGAATTTTCTTCGTATTCATTGTATAAATTGTGACATTCAACAGTTACTCATTATAATTATTCAACACAATATTATTCAATTTGCAATTTTTTTTACGTTTATCTTGTTCGTTTTCATTAAATATTTCAATCACGCGCGGGCTTAATTTTCCGTAGAATTCCCTATTACATTATTATTGACTGAGCGGGAGGGCCTAACTTACAGATATTTGGCTCTCGGTAATGTCATAATGATCGAGCGTAGCGAGGTTCGTGTGTCATGACCAAAATCGAAACATTAGGGACTTTAAGAAAACCACGACGAAAACCACGTGACGGCAACGAGAAGGTTGCATAACAAAAGATGTAATCAGCAGAACGATGGCAAAACCCGTGTGTCTTAAGACTTTTTACATTTCTTAGCCGTCCCATGCAGATCTAATACGTGAATTTCCAACTTTTACGTCCTCTAGGCAAGGAAACCTTGACAGCAATTTAGTCAAGTTTTTACTTTGAACTCAACATAATTTAGTTCATATGTTAGGCCGAAGTCAATATGTCGTACCGTAAGAAACTTTGAACGCATCGAGCTATTGGCGAAAGTCTCAGAGGAACATAAATTACGTTTTTTCAGCAACATTTTACCACTCGTCGTCGTAGTGACATCTTAAACTCCTTATTTAACAGTCCGGCCCGACCTAACTCAGGCAATAAGCATTTCGTGACGGCCACCAAGTGTTGAAAATTTCGAAAATTCCATTTCAACCTGATTAGAACAACCACAAAATAATTCTGCTATAAAAAATGTTTCCTTTTTTTAAATCTTTTCTCTTTTCTCTTTGCAACAAAGCCGTGTGAGGCCGGACAGCTTTTTTCGGACCGCCTCAAGTCAACCCTTTCGGGCCCTACACACTTCTGCATTCACTTTGGTTTTCTATGGGATTGCTCTCGCATGGCCGTACGGGTCATATGATGAAGTAATGTTAATTTTTCCTCATCACTGGACAATACTGACTCAATTAGTCTCTGCATAAAAGAACCTTTTGGGGCCTACCCAAATACAACATTACATTCTTTTGAAGCCCCCGATCGGACTCGGGAAAGTCAAACTTGTTGGCGAAAGCTCTTAATATTTGGCCGCTCTACTGCGGAGCGTTCTGGTGAAGATAGTAGCTAAGCTCCTCACGTAGGTTAGTTCATGGAGCTCTGCTCTAAGGCGTGCTAATTTCGTTGTTGTTACATACATTGTGTGCAAGTTCCTCAGGTCGTCAAACACTCTTTCTGGCAAAAAGGTGATGGCGTTTGAAGAAAAATTTCTAAATTTTGAAATAGAGGATAAGAAAATTTCACCTGAGATAGCAATCCTACAACTAAATTTCCTATTTTTAGAATGACTTGGAGTCTCACGCCATGGAAGCTTTGAGGATTCGATGTCTATCAAATGCAACCATCAAACTACAAAACATTGAATATTTAGCAATTTCAAGGGTAAGACTTAATGCTATTTGTCCATGTTGAGTCTCACAGATGTTGCAGTTTTGTTAAATTGGCAAAAACTGTTTCAGGTAGAGAAGTAATTGAGTTCGAAGAAAAATGCCTGAGGAGAACAAAACAAAAGGCGAAAAAATAATTACAGAAATGGTTTTAAAAAACAGGTTCTGTCGCATCTATTAGTCGTTTAACCAGCTCTTTCATGGAGAGAACGCTAGTAAGAGAAAATATCATTATAAGGGACACAAATGGCTTTGAGAAAATGCAACGCTAAGATACAAAGATTTTCCAAGATGACTAGAAACGTCTTACTACCTCGCGCTCTATAATAACATTTGTATCAAACGAGTTTGATAGGTATTGATAAAATCCTTGTAAATATTATTTTTTTCAGGAGAGCATCTCCTCGTTGCTGAAAATAAGTGCACTTGTTGTTGCAAGGCTTTTGGAAAACTCTTTTTTTTTTTTAATTTTCATCTAATCCCACAGTAACCTTAGTTGGTATGTTTGCTCTAACTTACAGAAGATTTAGATTTCTCAGATTGACAAATATCCTTTCGGGTAACGAGTTGATAGAATTCGACTGCAAATGCCTGTGGAAGAACATGACCCATCTTATAACAATACAAAGAAAATAATGCCCAATCTCCGTCACAATGACTAACAATTCACCATCTCTACAACCCCGTCATTGCTGATATTAGAATAGATTGGTTTAGCAAGAGGACGGGAACGTCATTTGAGAACGGCGCGCGCAGCAAAAATGCCGATAAGAAACTTGGTCGAATACGCCGTCGCGTTGTGTTGAAAAGTGACTCAGCAGTCTTTGCAACGAACCGTCGACGTTACATTTGTTCTTGAATATCCTGACCTCGGCTCTTTAAGATCACTATCAGCTTGGAATTTTTGGTTTCACAGACCACTTGAAGGACAACGAAATTATCCTCTTTGAGAGTGTAACAAGCGCAAACAGAGGATAGTTTGTTGTTAATATGAATCCACATGGGCGATTAAACTTTGAAATTATTCCATTCCAGTTAAGTCTCGAGTCTGCACATTCATCTATCAAATTTTGAAGCCCACTAAATATTTTTTTTTATGATTTATATCGCTGTCATTTCGTTTCGTGCTTCTAGATTTCAGCACTACTCGTTTTTCTTCATAATTTTGTAAAGTATGATTTGGAATTGAAATCGTCACAGTTTTTTCCACTGTTTACTGAATATTCTTCTCAATCATGACAGTACATCTCTTTTGAGCACCACCTTCTTAGAGTTGCAATGCATTTTGAATGGAGTTATCAGGAGTTATGACGAAAACATGTAGAGATCAAGCGACCCAACGATAGAGTTGTTTACAATGAGTTCCCGTTTAACCATGAACGAACGAAATGCACTCAAACTACTCACCAACGAAACGGTTAGACTGAGGAATAAGACTTCGTTCTTGTTTTATTTGTTTTTTTTTTTTTGTTTAATTTAATTTTTTTAACGAATAAAGTCGTTCAAGACTGAATCAAATTAATAGATTTAGAAAGCCCTGCCGAAATCAAGTTGATTGTCATTTTCTTTCGTAGCGATAGCATGACTTTTTTGTCTTAGTTTTCATCGGCGCTGATCAAAAATTAAAGACATAAAAAAGTGCAAACCCGAGTTATTCTCAATTTTTTCATCTCTGACTTCAGTTCTCAGATCACTTTTTCATCACGGTTAAAACGACAACAAATAACACTGGATAATACGGAAGATAACCTTCGTGTTGTTTCATTTTGATAAACTTCAACATGAGGCAAGTTTAATTTAATGATGAATTAATTCACGATAAAATTAACAGCACCTATTCTTAGAGGTTTTATACATGGTTTAAGAAATGTATCAAAAGAAAAGCCCTTGCGTTGTTAAAGCCACGCTGAATTACAAAAGGTAACTGAGCCCTAAAATCTTGGATCGCTTGCTAACGATCGTGTTTCCTTTCGGGAATCCAGAATAAATGTAGCGGTAAATTTTCACAAATTCACCGAATAAAATAAAGACAGGGACCTGGTTATCTTGGAAACGAGTTCTGAAATCATTCCAAACAGCATTATCTCGTTTACAATTGCACAATTAACGCAAATCCTACGCGTTTTGATCACGACGGGAAAACCAGCGAAATGACGTTCTGAACTTAATGGAGAGAAAGGCAACGCTAACACCGGAAGTCGAAATAGAGTCGTGTCCAGATTATCCGCGCGCTTTCCCGTTCTGAACTGACGTTCCCGTTCTCTTGCTAAACCACTAATATGTAATAGGTAGATGGCGCTAATAGAACTCAACATCGAGAGAGAAGCAATGTGATTTTAAGAAACTTTATAAGGATTGGAACTTTTCAGAAATGTTTAAGTGATTCAAATTAACGTCCTCTTCACCTTTTTCCCACTTCTAGCGTAGCAAACAACATGAAAGCATCAAGTAACTTCCTTTTGTTTAGCATGTGATTGTTGAGAGGGGCTAAGATATTTCCAAATGCAAATGCAGCATGATAACGTTAAACCGAGATAACCGTTCAATGTTATATTTATTCCCTTTGAGTTTTCTTACAAGAACTGAAGGCTTGTAAGGTCCACAAACACTCTTTCGGGTAAGGAGGTAATGAAGTTAAACGACAAAGACCTGTCAAGGAAACAGACACGAGGACTTTTTAGACAAATAAAGTTATATGCTCTTTGAGTACTAAAAAAGATAATTCCGTTTATAATTAAATAGGCCGAGCTAAACAGTATTCACAATTCCATGAAATTTTTATCAAGAGAAAAGAAACAGAAGACATAAAAAATTTATTCTAAAATAATATTCGAGGATGTAACTTTAACTTGCCATGGGATTCTACGTGGACCTAAGTTCAGCCATGACTTCGTAAATGAACACAAAGGTCCACAAACAGCAGCCTATAAAAGCAACCCACTTCAAGTCTAGTTATTATTGTAACTTACAATCCTTGCAGGTTCAATAGGTTGGCAAACAACATTTCAGGTAAGGAAGTCAAAGAGTTCGAGGACAAATCCCTGTGAAGAACATGCCGCATTAAAGCAAGATTTTTTTCATCCTTAGTTCGCTTTCCTGAGTCACAAAGGGTTTGTTTGAGAGACAAACCCGCGTTGACGATCAGTTTTTTTAAACTTTGATAATTCCGTATTTGCATAAGGTCGACTCAATTTGATTGTCGTCCTATCCGCCGTTTTTTCTTCCATGAATAGGGAATGTTCGTATGATGAATACAACGACTAGTATTATTTCGTCTTCTTATAAAATCCCTGGGGTGACGTTCAATTAAGCGCTGGAGGCAATCCACCATTGCATCGGTTTTGTTTTGCTGTCGCTCACATTAGAATTTTTCAACCAGTCAGGTACCAGAGTAAATCCAATCACGATTAACAGCCTTGACAGCCTTATAAAAATGTTCTATGAAGTTTCTTCTTTTGCTTACTCCCTTATGTCACTTTTTTCAAGTGATTACCACTTATTACTTTGCTACGATTCGAAGTTTTTGCTCGATACCCTAGTAGTTCTTAATTTTGACAAGAATAGCCTCCATAAGTTGAAAAGATCATGTTGCAGGTGATAGACTGTTTCAGCTCATAAGTTTTGCTCATCATAGAGAGAGAGCACCATTAAAGAGCTGTTTCTTCTAAATATCCCTCTTATTTAAGTGCATATGTACGCAGAATTTACAGAATATAAAGCTGGGAATTGCCTTCGGACCCGAAATTGACAGACAAGCTAAATTGGTCTATAGTGTTATTATCTGCATTATTAAACGTATGGATGTCTTTCTAACAACTCCATGTGGGTCACTTTTCAAAATTTTTATATCATCCCATAGTAATCTTAGTTGGTAGGTTCGCTCTAACTTACAGAAATATTAGATTTCTTAGATTGACAAATATCCTTTCTGGTAACGAGCTGATAGAATTCGACTGCAAATGCCTGTGGAAGAACATGGCCAATGTTACGGGTAAGGAAAATGATGCACAATCTTCGTCGCAATGACTGACAATTCACTATCTTTACGCCCACGTCATTGCTGATATTGTATTATGTCGATGGCGCTTATAGAACTCAACATCAAGAGAGAAGCAATGTGATTTTAAGAAACTTTATAAGGATTGGAACTTTTCAGAAATGTCTAAGTGATTCATATTTACGTCCTCTTCAACTTTTTCCCACTTCTATCGCAAGAAACAACGTGAACGCGTCAAGTAATTTCCTTTTGTTTAGCATGTGATTGTTGAGAGGGGCTAGGATATTTCCAAATGCAAATGCAGTATAACAACGTTAAACCGGAGGAAACGTTCAATGTTATATTTGTTCCCTTTATGTTTTCTTACAGGAACTGAAGGTTTGTAAGGTCCACAAACACTCTTTCGGGAAAGGAGGTAATGAAGTTAAACGACAAAGACCTGTCAAGGAAACAGACACGAGGAATTTTTAGACAAATAAAATTTTACACTCTTTGTGTTCTAATAGAGATAACTTCATTCATAATTAAATAGATTGAGCTGAATAGTATTCACAATTCCATAAAGTTTTCATCAAAAGAACAGTAAAAATAAGGCCTTAAAAAATTATTCTAAGATAATATTCAAGGATATATCTCCTGTAGAAAAGTGAATTGTTAAGTAAAACTGTAAAAGCATAGTGAGAGGTTATTGGTAACCGTTTCTTTATTCAGGTGCAACGAAATCGCCGACTAAATTAACTTGCCAAGGGATACAACCCATGACTACGAAAATGAACACAAACAGTAGCTTTTAAAAGCATTCCACACTTAAATGTAATTATTATTGTAACTTACAACTCTTGCAGCTTCAAGACGTCGGCAAACAACATTTCAGGTAAGGAAGTCAAAGAGTTCGAGGACAAATCCCTGTGAAGAACATGCTACGTTAAAGCATATGTATTGATTTTTTTCATCCCTAGTTCGCTTTCTTGAATCACAGAGGGTTTTATTGGGAGACAATCCGGCGTTTAAACATTGACAGTTCCGTATTTGCATAAGGTCGACTCGATTGGATTATCGTCCATTCCATCGTTTTTTCTTCCATAAAGCAAAAACGTTTGTATGATGGATGCAACTACTACTGTTATTTCATCTTCTTATAAAATTCTTAGAGTGACATTCAATCAAGCGCTGGAGACAATCCACCATTGCATCGGTTTTGTTTTGCTGTCGCTCAAATTGGAATTTTTAACCAGTCAGGTACCAGAGTAAATCCAATCACGATTTACAGCTTTAACAGCCTTATGAAAATGTTCTATGAAGTTTCTTCTTTTGTTTAATCCATTATTTCCCGTTTTTAGTGATAAACACTAATTATTTTGCTACAATTCTAAGCTTTCGCCAATATCCTAGTAGTTCTTAATTTTGACAAGAACAGCTTTTATGAGTTGAAAAGATCATGTTGCAGGTGATAGACCGTTTCAGCTCATAGGTTTTGTTCATCAAAGAGAGAGCACCATTAGGGAGCTGTTTCTTCCAAATATGCCTCTTATCGACGTGCATATGTACGCAGAATTTGCAGAAGATAAAGGTTGGAATTGCCTTTAGACCTGAAATGAACAGACAAGCTAAATTGGTCTATAGAGTTATTATCTGCATTATTAAACGTATGGATGCCTTTCTAACAACTCCAAAATTTTCATATTATCCCATGGTAATCTTAGTTGATACGTTTGCTCTAACTTACAGAAAATTTAGATTTCTTAGATTGACAAATATCCTCTCTGGTAACGAGCTGATAGAATTCGACCGCAAATGCCTGTGGAAGAACATGACCAATATTATGGGTAAGGAAAATGATACACATTCTTCGTCGCAATGACTGACAATTCACCATCATTACGCCCACGTCATTACTAATGTCGTAATAGATGGTGCTAATAGAACTCAACATCGCGAGAGAAGCAATGTGATTTTAAGAAACTTTATAAGGATTGGAACTTTTCAGAAATGTCTAAGTGATTCATATTTACGTCCTCTTCAACTTTTTCCCACTTATATCGCAGAAAACAACGTGAACGCGTCAAGTAATTGCCTTTTGTTAAGCATGTGATTGTTGAGAGGAGCTAGGATATTTCCAAATGCAAATGCAGCATGACAACGTTAAACCGAAATAACCGTTCAATGTCATATTTGTTCCCTTTGAGTTTTCTTACAGGAACTGAAGGCTTGTAAGGCCCACGAACACTCTTTCGGGTAAGGAGGTAATGAAGTTAAACGACAAAGACCTGTCAAGGAAACAGACACGAGGACCTTTTAGACAAATAAAGTGATATACTCTTTGTGTACTAATAGAGATAATTCCATTTATAATTAAATAGGCCGAGCTAAACAGTATTCACAATTCCATTAAATTTTTATCAAGAGGAAAGAAAAAGAAGACATAAAAAATTTATTCTAAAATAATATTCGAGGATGTAACTTTAACTTGCCATGGGATTCTACGTGGACCTAAGTTCAGCCATGACTTCGTAAATGAACACAAAGGTCCACAAACAGCAGCCTATAAAAGCAACCCACTTCAAGTCTAGTTATTATCGTAACTTACAATCCTTGCAGGTTCAATAGGTTGGCAAACAACATTTCAGGTAAGGAAGTCAAAGAGTTCGAGGACAAATCCCTGTGAAGAACATGCCGCATTAAAGCAAGATTTTTTTCATCCTTAGTTCGCTTTCCTGAGTCACAAAGGGTTTGTTTGAGAGACAAACCCGCGTTGACGATCAGTTTTTTTTAAACTTTGATAATTCCGTATTTGCATAAGGTCGACTCAATTTGATTATCGTCCCATCCGCCGTTTTTTCTTCCATGAATAGGGAATGTTCGTATGATGAATACAACGACTAGTATTATTTCGTCTTCTTATAAAATCCCTGGGGTGACGTTCAATTAAGCGCTGGAGGCAATCCACCATTGCATCGGTTTTGTTTTGCTGTCGCTCACATTAGAATTTTTCAACCAGTCAGGTACCAGAGTAAATCCAATCACGATTAACAGCCTTGACAGCCTTATAAAAATGTTCTATGAAGTTTCTTCTTTTGCTTACTCCCTTATGTCACTTTTTTCAAGTGATTACCACTTATTACTTTGCTACGATTCGAAGTTTTTGCTCGATACCCTAGTAGTTCTTAATTTTGACAAGAATAGCCTCCATAAGTTGAAAAGATCATGTTGCAGGTGATAGACTGTTTCAGCTCATAAGTTTTGCTCATCGTAGAGAGAGAGCACCATTAAAGAGATGTTTCTTCTAAATATCCCTCTTATTTAAGTGCATATGTACGCAGAATTTACAGAATATAAAGCTGGGAATTGCCTTCGGGCCCGAAATTGACAGACAAGCTAAATTGGTCTATAGTGTTATTATCTGCATTATTAAACGTATGGATGTCTTTCTAACAACTCCATGTGGGTCACTTTTCAAAATTTTTATATCATCCCATAGTAATCTTAGTTGGTAGGTTCGCTCTAACTTACAGAAATATTAGATTTCTTAGATTGACAAATATCCTTTCTGGTAACGAGCTGATAGAATTCGACTGCAAATGCCTGTGGAAGAACATGGCCAATATTACGGGTAAGGAAAATGATGCACAATCTTCGTCGCAATGACTGACAATTCACTATCTTTACGCCCACGTCATTGCTGATATTGTATTATGTCGATGGCGCTTATAGAACTCAACATCAAGAGAGAAGCAATGTGATTTTAAGAAACTTTATAAGGATTGGAACTTTTCAGAAATGTCTAAGTGATTCATATTTACGTCCTCTTCAACTTTTTCCCACTTCTGTCGCAAGAAACAACGTGAACGCGTCAAGTAATTTCCTTTTGTTTAGCATGTGATTGTTGAGAGGGGCTAGGATATTTCCAAATGCAAATGCAGTATAACAACGTTAAACCGGAGGAAACGTTCAATGTTATATTTGTTCCCTTTATGTTTTCTTACAGGAACTGAAGGTTTGTAAGGTCCACAAACACTCTTTCGGGTAAGGAGGTAATGAAGTTAAACGACAAAGACCTGTCAAGGAAACAGACACGAAGAATTTTTAGACAAATAAAATTTTACACTCTTTGTGTACTAATAGAGATAACTTCATTCATAATTAAATAGATTGAGCTAAATAGTATTCACAATTCCATAAAGTTTTCATCAAAAGAACAGTAAAAATAAGGCCTTAAAAATTATTCTAAGATAATATTCAAGGATATATCTCCTGTAGAAAAGTGAATTGTTAAGTAAAACTGTAAAAGCATAGTGAGAGGTTATTGGTAACCGTTTCTTTATTCAGGTGCAACGAAATCGCCGACTAAATTAACTTGCCAAGGGATACAACCCATGACTACGAAAATGAACACAAACAGTAGCTTTTAAAAGCATTCCACACTTAAATGTAATTATTATTGTAACTTACAACTCTTGCAGCTTCAAGACGTCGGCAAACAACATTTCAGGTAAGGAAGTCAAAGAGTTCGAGGACAAATCCCTGTGAAGAACATGCTGCGTTAAAGCATATGTATTGATTTTTTTCATCACTATTTCGCTTTCTTGAATCACAGAGGGTTTTATTGGGAGACAATCCGGCGTTTAAACTTTGGCAGTTCCGTATTTGCATAAGGTCGACTCGATTGGATTATCGTCCATTCCATCGTTTTTTCTTCCATAAGGCAAAAACGTTTGTATGATGGATGCAACTACTACTGTTGTTTCGTCTTCTTATAAAATTCTTAGAGTGACATTCAATCAAGCGCTGGAGACAATCCACCACTGCATCGGTTTTGTTTTGCTGTCGCTCAAATTGGAATTTTTAACCAGTCAGGTACCAGAGTAAATCCAATCACGATTTACAGCTTTAACAGCCTTATGAAAATGTTCTATGAAGTTTCTTCTTTTGTTTAATCCATTATTTCCCGTTTTTTAGTGATAAACACTAATTATTTTGCTACAATTCAAAGCTTTTGTCGATATCCTAGCAGTTCTTAATTTTGACAAGAACAACCTTTATGAGTTGAAAAGATCATGTTGCAGGTGATAGACTGTTTCAGCTCATAAGTTTTGTTCATTAGAGAGAGAGCACCATTAGGGAGCTGTTTCTTCCAAATATCTCTCTTATTTACGTGCATATGTACGCAGAATTTGCAGAAGATAAACGTTGGAATTGTCTTTAGACCTGAAATGGACAGACAAGCTAAATTGTTCTATGGTGTTATTATCTGCATTATTAAACGTATGGATGTCTTTCTAACACCATCTTTACGCCCACGTCATTGCTAATGTCTTAATAGATGGTGCAAATAGAACTCAACATCGCGAGAGAAGCAATGTGATTTTAAGAAACTTTATAAGGATTGGAACTTTTCAGAAATGTCTGAGTGATTCATATTTACGTCCTCTTCAACTTTTTCCCACTTATATCGCAGAAAACAACGTGAACGCGTCAAGTAATTGCCTTTTGTTTAGCATGTGATTGTTGAGAGAGGCTAGGATATTTCCAAATGCAAATGCAGTATGACAACTTAAACCGGAGGAAACGTTCAATGTCATATTTGTTCCCTTTGAGTTTTCTTACAGGAACTGAAGGCTTGTAAGGTCTACTATCACTACTCTTTCGGGTAAGGAGGTAACGAAGTTAAACGACAAAGACCTGTCAAGGAAACAGACACGAGGACCTTTTAGACAAATAAAGTGATATACTCGTTGTGTACTAATAGAGATAATTCCATTCATAATTAAATAGGCCGAGCTAAACAGTATTCACAATTCCATAAAAATTTTTATCAAGAGAAAAGAAAAAGAAGACATAAAAAAACATTCTAAGATAATATTCGAGGATATAACTTGAACTTGCCATGGGATACTACGTGGACCTAAGTTCAGCCATGACTTCGTAAATGAACACAAAGGTACACAAACAGCAGCCTATGAAAGCAACCCACTTCAAGTCTAGTTATTATTGTAACTTACAATCCCTCCAGGTTCAATAGGTTGGCAAACAACATTTCAGGTAAGGAAGTCAAAGAGTTCGAGGACAAATCCCTGTGAAAAACATGCTGCATTAAAGCAAGATTTTTTTCATCCTTAGTTCGCTTTCGTTTGAGAGACAACCCTGCTTTGACGATCAGTTTTTTTTAAGCTTTGATAATTCCGTATTTGCACAAGGTCGACTCAATTTGATTATCGTCCCATCTATTGTTGTTTCTTCTATGAATAAGGAATGTTCGTATGATGGATACAACGACAACTATTATTTCGTCTTCCTATGAAATCCTTAGAGTGCATTCAATTACGCGATGGAGGCAATCCACCATTGCATCGATTTGCAGCCTTAACAGCCTTTTTAAAATGTTCTAGGACATTTCTTTTGTTTCCTCTAGTATTTCTCTTTTTTTAGCGATTATCATTTATCATTATCATAGGTTTAACTATAATACTAAGTCGATGAACGCTCCAGACTAATTTCCAAACGCTACTTTTAAAGTTTGCAAGCTTGTTAGATTTGCAAACGTCGAGTTGGGTAAAGAGATTATAGCGTTTGAAGGCAAATATCTGTAAGAAAAATTACTTTTAGGAAAAACGGAACCTCAATATGAAACAACTAAAAAGCCATTTGTTTAATTTAAATATTGAATATTTCATTCATGGGTGGGCTAAATTTTCAGCAAAGTTTCCTGTAGATAGAGGATATTACAAAATGGCGAGAGTTTTATCATATCATATCATATCATATCATATCATATCATATCATATCACGTCATATCATATCATTTACAAATAGATTCCAAGTTACCGTGTGTCTGTTCAGTAATAGATCATAGATGACGTCAAAATGTGGTAAGAACAAAAAAGTGGCACACGAGGCGCAGCCGAGTGTGTCACTGATGTTCTTACCACATTTTGACGTCATCTATGATCTATTACTGAAAAGACGCACGGCAACTTTTTTAATTGGAATGTACTTGTTTTATATAATAAAGAATTAAAATATACGGAAAAAAAATTTTTAGGATGACGTCATCTATACGTCTGTCCTCCAGTAGATCATAAGTGAAAACCAATCAGAATGCGTGCATAACTGAGCTTATTATATAATATCATATACATCATTCATATCTTTAACTAACGTGTAATTTTCTTTTTATAATATAGACAATAAATATAAATGGTAGAGATTGCAAAGCCGGCTCTATACAAATACTGGGTAGAAAGAAATAGAAACAAACTACCCGGTGCCCAAATTACAAAAAGGTTGACATGGCCAAATACATGTGAACTGGTTTTATAATTAAGCTGAATGAAAACTCGATTACTGACTCTGACTTGAATCATCAGATACTTCTATTTTCAGCCTTCTTTCACTACGAAACTTTGAGGGGTGTTCAGAACAAACAGAAAAAAAACTTCCGAGAAAATCTGTAGATCATACGGCGTTTTCGTTTTGGTTTACTTGTTCTCAGGTTGTTCGGAAAGTGTATTTACATCTTCTCCGTTCACTGCAACAAATCTTGCGGCCATTTAATATTCCAAACAACCAACAAACCGAGCTTATTCAGCAAAGTTCGAAAAGGCTGGAATTGTGATACTATTGTTTGTTCAATATCGCCCCTTATGGTACATTCGAAGAATACGCCTGATGCAGTCCCGGATGTAGTGGTCGTATTGATTCAAAGAGTGTCTTTGTTTTCGATAAATCATTCACGTCCTTTTTATAATACAGACTATTTCTCATGATCACTTTGCAATAATGGCTCGATTTTAAGCATCGAAGAACTTTTTGAGGCCTATCCAATGACAGTTATAAAATCGCTTGAAGCCCCCGATCGGACTCGAGAAAGCTAGAATGATTGGAGAAGGCTCCAAATTTTTAGCCACCCAATTTTTGTTTTTGTTTTTATTCTTGTTTTGTTTTGTTTATAATTCTCGCAAACTCAAAAAGTTGCCAAAAAATATTTCAGGTAAGGAAGTCAAAGGGTTCAAGGAAAACTCCCTGTAAAAAAAAAACATGCTGCATTAAAGCATATCTATTGACTTCTTTTTCATCCTTAAACCCCTTTTAAATTTGATCTAAAGTTTACACAAGGCCGACTCAATTTAATTATGGTCCTATCCATTCTCTTTCCTTCCAGGAATAAAAAACTTTCGAATAATGAGTGCAATGACTACTTCCTATTTCATTTTCCTGTAAAACCCGTTCAATTAAGCGCCGAAAGTAATCTGCCTTTGCATCGGTTTTGCTTTGCTGCCGCTCATATTGAAATTACTAGCCAATCAGATACCAAAGAAAGTGCAATCACAGTTTCCAATGTTTACAGCCTTGTGAATGTATTTTCTTCAAGCATCTTCCTTTTTCATTCATGAGCAATTATCATTAACATAAGTTTAACACTAAAACTCAGTGGAAGAGCGCTCCAGTTTAAATTTAATTTTCAGATGTTACTTACAAAGTCTCCAAGCTTGTTACGTTAGCAAAAGTCGTGTTAGGTAAAGAGATTATAGCGTTTGAGGACAAGTTCCTGTAAGAAAAGGTAATATTTTTTTGGAAAAATGGAGACGAGATGTGTAAAAACGTTTTTATTCTTTTGTTATCGACGAATATTTAAAAGTTCGCGACCCCTCATCTGGGATGTCAGCTCGGCCAGCTTAAATAGATTCCAGGCCTTGTCCGACCATCGCACTTAAATTGCAGAAACAGTATCCTATAGAGGTCTCATTAGATATGAAAATCTAGCCTTAATTTCCAGGCCTGCTTATTCCATCGTTTTAAGGTCTTGAAAGGGAACTAACACTATTTAGTTGTCGTTTTTAAAATCTTATAATTAAATAACCTATGTTCTTCTATATTCCTGTTTTCCATACCATCGTATCATGAGCTGAGTATGTGAATGCTGCCTCCCGTACACATTGTTTTCACAGAAAAGTTTACGTTAGGCCCGTGTATTTCTGTTATCGTCCAAAAAATAAGTAGCGAAAAATTCAACTCAAGTAGTGTTTTAGTACGTGACTAAAACAAGGCCGCTTATTTTGGAATTTC